ACGTCAGCGGAGCTACAATTGAACCGTCTGAACCGGAAACGGCCACGTCAACTTGGCACCGGTCTAATAGGCTCCTGCTCGTACTCGCTTAGCGATACATCGAAATCGAGCGCTCAACTCGCACATTGAAACGTACACAAAGTATCGAATTAAAATATCGAATGCCGAAAAACTATTGTAAAATATCGATGTGTTTATTAGCTGCACAATTTTTCCTATTTTGGCTCGTAATCCAATTATTGGGTAGGCGGTCGGGTCGACTGCTGAGTGCCCACACGCGGCCCAAGTTGAAGGCCTCGGGCTACGAAGTTTCATGTAAAAAACGCGTATCTACGGGAATTTTAAATTAGAGTTAGGCGGTTCTTGCCACGGAGAATAGATCGGGTTTCGGCCCGACTGCTTTGCCTATTAGGTTTGGATGCGTGCGTGAGACTCGAGGTATCACTGACAAATCGTCGTTTCCAGGACGAAGGAACGTAACTTAATTGCGAGGTTGCAAAATTGACACGACCAATTTAATTTCTGACGAGAATGTGCCTGCGCAAATTTGGTTGAAAATTTGTGTGATTTTCGCAAGAGTTCCGAAGAAAAATCAGTAAAATTTTCAGTTAGAAATTCCCAAGATTTTCCCGGTAAAAATCCAATTTACGCTGGGAAATTTGGCAACATTGAAAAGTATAGTTACGTTTTTTCGTGAGGGATCAGACGAAACTTATATTTCGGGCGAGGAGTGGTGTCTTTAAACGGCACGGTTCGGTAATGAGAGGGGTAATTTATATGCGCATATTATGTTTTTGTATCCGGCCATTTTGAACTTTTTTCCCCCTTTACACTTGAGTTTATGGCTTTCTGTCAATCTGGATCCTACACAGCGTTTACATAGGAAATGGTGATACAGATCACATCATTTCACTTTTTCGTCGTTCGAAACAATATTAACAACAAAATTTGTACATTTTTTCTTTCTTCTCGAGGAAGTTAAAGCCCTCCAGCGAACAGCTTACACCCATGTCAACGTTACTAAGATTGTGCATACATTCAACTGTGAGGTTGGTAAAGAACTGTTAGCCCTGTCCTAAAATTTGCCTTATCTTTCATTTCTATTATTCTAAATATTTTGGCATAGAAAAGCACGATGTGGATGATTTCGGATACTTGGAAGAATTGCACAATCCTAGCGGCGTTAACATGGGTATACGCTGTTTGGTCGGAAAGGTCCTCATATGTTGTTTCTTAAAAGCTGATTTGATCTACATTGACAGTGGTTTTTGGTAGGCGGAAATGTTGAATTTACTTTTTACAATGTAGGCTATATGCAAGCACTGAGAAAAAAAGTAGCTTGGATCTAGATTCAGGACTCTTAAAAACATTGACAAGAAAAAATACTCTTGATTCAATCGTACTTTTGCTTGAATCAAAAAGAAATCCGCTCAAATCAAGAGGCTTGGCTCTTCGATTCAAGGAAAAATCCGATTGAATTAAGAGTATTTCTTCTCGTCCATGTTATTAAGAGTCTCGACTCTAGATCCAAGCGACTTTTTTTCCAGTGAAGATTAATTTTTCATCAGTGGAGTAATTACGGAAGTTTCCGATATGTATAAAGTACTTCACGAAAACTTTTGGTGATAACTAATTCATTTTAGGTGACCAATCTCAACCCTGTTTCATTCTCCAGTCCCGCTGTTCAAAATTCTGCTAATAATGGTTAAATTTTACAACACCGGACACTGCGTGCGACGCGCGTGCGCATGTGGGAGCATTCAATATACTCAGCAAACTGAGGCGAATGACAGGCCCCTCCCCATCCTCCATAGTTTGATCTCTGTTAGGTCAAAAACGTCTCTAAATTATAATTAGGCGTGAGGTCGGAACAGTTCAGGCTATGACGTTGAGTTTGATGCTTCCTACGCATGGTACAAATCAATTCCAACGTCTGCGTCGCCGTCACACCGGTTATGCGCTAGAAAAACCGCCTAACTTGATAGAATTTCCGATGTGGAGTTGAGTGGTTCCTGATTTGGAGGGTGGTTATTTGCTCGCTCGCACCGGATCAAATACGTCATTACGGTGCTCGCTTTACCCGCGCTTTGTGTAATACGACCAAATTTGGAGGCGGCCAAACAACCGAGGCGCTAGGACAACATACTTCACCCACCCACTGGTGTTTGGATGTATGTGAGGTTGGCTGGGTTATCGTTCGAAGTGGCGTAATCCGTGGATTCGGTGCGGAAACACTTATCTCCATCGCAGTGGCGTGGCGCCCTATGCGATGCATCGATTGATCTGAAATTTAGACCTATGGAAAAGGATCGATAAACAGGGTGTCCGCAACGAACACCTTGAAAATCGATCTTTTACTGTAGCTTCATATGGGAAAATATCGATAATCGATCATTCACGCCTCGCCAATGCTCCATCGCGACATTTCAAAACTTACACCTTCCCTCCCGGCTACCATACCCTGCCCTCAATGCACCGATGAAGAATTTGCAGGTGTCCGACATTTTGTGAATTCCGTGTTTACGAAGGAACTACTGAGCGAACTGAGCATGAGAACATTCTTAGTTCCTAAAATGAACATATATATGAGGATATATGCATTACATTTTGCAACAAGGGGTCACTATTTCTGGCCCATTTTAGAAACAACGTACATGCCATTGGTTTCCCCATGCAGATAAGTGCTCTTATGGAAGAGCCAAAGATAGTGGCTCCTTATCGCAAAATGTAATCCATTTGACCAAAAGACGTAATCTGCTAAAATACATGTGTTTAAATGGGAAATGCCGCCAGATGACGTCACAAGGCGGCAGATTTTCTAATTTTAAAATATATTTTCCAAAATTTTTCATATCAGAAAAAAATTATGAAAAATGCTGCGAACGCAGCTCGTTGAGCTCTTTCAGATGCAACAATAAAATTTTTTCCTGCCAATTCTCCATTGCGCTCGTTAGAGAATGGTATTTTAATGGTTAGCTGTTATGATGCAGGCAATATGATGTAACATAGCGTCAATTACTGGGTTTCCTTAATAACGCGAGTTAGGGTTTGGGTTTTAAAAAAAAAATTTTATATTTCTGGACGAGCCCCAAAACGCGAGTATACTTCTAGCCTCCTCTTTGCAGTTGAACTTTTAGTGATTGGAACCGATCTAAGTATAAAAAAGCAAAGGAACATTTTCCTCAGTAAAAATAAAATAATTCAAAGCTGCAAAAACTAAAGGGAAAATCTCCTGACATATGAAGCTGATATAATTACTATTAAATCTTAGAAATTGGAACTTAAACCTTTTTTTCTAAAAAGAAATATTGTTTGGGTTGGTCCCCTTCCGCGTAACACACTGTGATGTAGTTATGTCGATACGGCCTTTGTCAAGGCAATGTTTGCCTTTTAAAATGTGCAAAGCCGATTTCCTGCACTTGAGATTACCGTAAATGAAAACCGGTTCTCAGGTTCGAGGACCGAATGTCATCAGCATAACTGCAAAAAGTTGTGAGCAAGTTCAGCGACTCTTTGCGTCAGGGGCGAGGCGTGAATGATCAATTATCGACATTTCCTCCATTTGAAGCTACGGTAAAGGATCGCTCATTAAGGTGTTCGTTGCGAACACACTGTCTATCTATACTTTTCCGTGGATTTAAGTGGTAGATCAATCGATATATCGCAAAACACGCCACGCCACTGCTTTGCGTGTGGTAAAAGACCTTTACGATACCCCTGAAAAAATGCAAGTTACAGAGCTTTCAAGACATCAAAAAAACTCAAGAACTTCGTTTGGGCCGACTACGCTCTCAGATTCAAACCTAAATCAGGCTTTAACTTCTACTCTAGGGACTTCTGTCATCAATTAAATCTTTTAGAGGCAGATGTTGCTTGGGGAGGGTGAAGCTCATTTTAGGGGAGAGGTCTACACATCTCAAAAACCGCGTTTAATAAACGAAAAGCGCCTAAAGGAAGGTCGAAGAGCCCCTTAAAAGCCGATTCTGTACTTGGACAATTGGCTAACATAAAATTAGGAACTAATCGTTAAAAGTAGATTAAGTAGAATAAACCCGGGTGTCAAAATCTATATGGCAACTGTAGATATGAGGTTTCCAAAAGCAATAAACCTAATAATCATTTTTTCACCACTCGTATATTGATAGGACAAACTTCTTGATTAAGTCTTAGTCTGAGTTCAACCCTGGTTCTCCTAATACAACGTTGCAAAATTTAAATTTTTCAGCATAAAAATATGCCTTTATATTAAATGCCAAAAATTTACATTTTGCATCGTTGGGTCGCCAAGAGAAGCGGCTTTTAACTCGAGTTGAATATTAATAGACGCTTTTTTCAAGAAAAGGCTCCTCATATTGACTATTTTATCCCAGATCTCCCTCCTCCTCCCCGCAACTTTTGCTGAGAAGTTTTTCAATCCTCGAAGGTGCCTACGCTCCGTGAAAAATCGCGCTCTTTTACCAGATTACAGAAACATTTTTAACACGCTCCGACTAATAAGAGGCGATCTAACAAGAAGCGCATAAGTCAGTGAGACAGTTCGTGCGCCTCCATTCCTCGCATCTGCAATACGGATTACAACAGAGGACGAACAGTCGTATCCAAGCTTTGATATCAAAATCGAGATTTGTCGTTGTTACAGCAGTGTGCCTTTGCAACATTATGAGGTAACAGCGAGGAAAAATTCTTCAGATTTCACGAATAGTCACATCTGGACCGTGTTAAACAGAAAGGAACCAAGCCACATCAGCTATTGCCAAATTTATTTAGGCAATTTAATTTTTTACATGAAAACGGTTATGAGGATTTTTGTGTAAATTTCAGTGAATTTTCTACACAATGTGAAGCAAATCTTTTGAAATTTTTGAAGGAATCCGTACAAACGTTCTTTTGTAAAATATTAAACTGGCTTGTTTTTGGCAATAGCTAGTGTGGCTCGGTCCCTTTCTGCTAAACGCGGTCCATCTAAGCGTGGTTACCAAGCAGAAGAAAACAAGACTTACCAGATAGACTTCGAGAGGTTTCTCTTTAACTTTGTTGTAGCCTTTCTGTATCTCCGTTTGCCGCAAGGCGTGGGCTATGTGCAGAGCACTGGCATCGAACCTGCCGTACTGATAGTTGTCGTGGGTGGGGGTGTGATGGTTCGAGTGGTTCTGCCCGTTGGAGCTGTTGGTCGTGTTCAGGGACGTGTTGAAGCTCCCGTTCAGGTGCGGCCGGATATTCAGGGCCTCCGCGTCGAAGGTCCCTTTGCCGGAGCCCCGGATCTGGTCGTTGACGTACGGGGCCGATTTCGGGACGTTCAGGGCGGACCGGATACCCACGGCCGAACCGTCCAAGTGTCCGGGCCCGATCTTGGGCACGTGGCTGTGGCAGTAGACCTCCTTGTCCTCCTGCTTGTGCTGGTTGTTGTAGTAGGTTTTTAGGGTCAGCTTCGTCCCGCAGATCGAGCACTTGAAGCACCCACTGTGGAAGAACGTGAAGTCCTTCAGGGGCCCCACCCTGTCCACCTGGTACACCGTCTGCCCGCACCGCAGACAGGTGCTCTCGTAGAAATTCATACGGTACATTTTCACCCACTTGGTTAGAGAAACTTTCAATCAAGAACTAGGACTTACTCCTTGACCTTATTCTGGGTGAGGACGGCCTTAAAATCGCAAAAATGTTAAAAAATTCCCCGTGGTCAGTTGAATTAGATCCCACAGTGACCGAACAGGTAAGTATTTTAGATGCAATTTTCAAAAAATTAACGTATGAAACCAGAAATCAACGAAACCTGAACATAAGATACGAAGGCACCGGAATAAACGCAGAACACCAAGCGTGGGAATAGCGAGAGAGAAATATTTGATAACACTGATTGAGAGGCTTAATGTAAACTTTGGCGGTAGTGGTAAAAATCGAAACACTTGAGGGAAAAACACTTGAGGATAATGAATTTTAGTATGAAAAAAACGTGTATTTATTTACTCCACCAAGAGGCGCACTGGAAACACAGTAATCGAACTCGCACTTACAAGTAGGCTAAACTGGACGAGGAACCAGTGGTTGCGCATTCAGTAGTAAAATTCAGTAAAGGTTAGACACAAAACAAAAACAAAACTAGATCCACACGGATATCGTTGCACGAAACCCGGTAGACAGGCGCAGAAGGGCGCAATAGGCCCGAAATCAAAATAAAAACAAAGCTGGATCCGAGTTTGGGGGGCGCGGCTGGCCGCTCGGGGGCGAAAGGGGGCCCACTATGACCCGCGCAAGGGCCGCATCGGGAGGGGTCTCGGCCGAAGGGGTTCGAAACACGGGGTTGAAAGGGGTCGGAGCTCGGGTGAGGTTAGGTTACGCGGCGAACATGGCGCGGGCCCACGAGCGAGCGAAACGGTCTCTGCGTCACGACTGAGCGGCGGTCCGAACCGTTCTTCGCGAGTCCTCCGGCTGGGCCCCCCGCCCCCCCTCCCGTTCCCCACCCCCCTCCTGAATCACCTGACTAGTGACTGGAACATCCTGCTTGATTTTCATTCTCCTACCTGTGCGGCGGTGCCACGGCGACCGGTGAATGGTGATTTCCGTCAGCTCCGTCTGAACCGTTGGGAACGGATGCTGCCGCCGCGACAAGGAAAAACGCCGTATGAGCCATCGGACGTTGCCATATTTTCTTGATAAGGGAAGTTGTGGATATTTTTTGGCCAGACACTTCACCCAATGGAGATGTTGTATGTTCTATTATTCGATGCCGCGATTATTCTAACGCGAGTTCGAATAATCGCGCCCAACTAAGTGCGGCCTGCCTTGAACGTATATTAGCGCCTGCAAGACTTTAGGAATACTTCACTCATTGCGCCAAACAGCGCGGTCAGCGTAAGGCCCATATTAGCGCCTACAAGACTGCATGAATACCTCTCGCATTGCGTCAAACGCAGTGCAGTCGGTCAGTTGTCGTGTGACGCATATTAACGCCTATGAAAGACTGTATAGGAATGCTCAGGACCGCATGTCGTCATTCTTGACTTTCTGTTACAATGGAGATGTTGCATATGTGAGGAATTTGCTATTTGACTGTTGATTCTTATGTAAAAGTTTGCGAGATACACGATGGTGCCACTGGTTTTCTCTGAAATCAACTCCCAAGCTCAAAAAAAGCTCTCAAGTTGAGGCCAAAATGCAGGGGATATCCCACGCTATCCTGAGAGTCTACCTCTACATCAAAACAAACTTTCTATGCAAGGATAGGTAGCAAATACATTAGCAGGGTTGCCACTTTATTTGGGGACTCCAAAACTGAAAACACGGCAACCCTGCTAATGTATTTGCTCCCTATCTTTGCATGAAGGGTTGGACTACATTTTGCAATTTGGAACTATAAATTCTAGCCCGATTTAAAAAACAACGTATGTGCCATCAGTTTCCCTGTGCATTCAAGTGTTTTTCCAGAAGAGCCAGAATTTATAATTCCAAATTGCAAAATGCAGTCCAGTTTGTCTTGGTGTAGAAGAGGACTCTCAGGGTAGGGTGGGATATCCCCTCCGTTTTGGCCTCACTTTGAGAGCTTTTTTTAAGCTTGGGAGTTGATTTCAGAAAAAACCAGTTGCACCATCGTGTTTCTCGCAAACTTTTACATAGGAATCAACAGTCAAATCGCAAATTCCTTACACATGCAACATCTCCATTTCGTTTGGTCCAAAGTTTTTATGGTCCATTTATGAAGTTTGTCCGATAGTTTTTTTGTGCAATGTTTATTGATCTAATAATTTACTTAGTTCAGTTACAAGCAACGACAAAGGTGCTGAGATTCCACCAATGAACCACCATAATGAAATTCCACCATAATGAAATACCCTTAGATGCCGAAGCCGAGTTAAATGACCCGTGTATCGCTGAAAAACGTGCCCCACCGGTTTTATGGAGCCGGAACGTCGCAACTTTAGACGTAGGTCACAAATACATCTTAAAAAAAGAATAAGACATAAAATTGAAAAGAAAAAAAAAATCAAATATCAGCACAGCCGAAAATAGAAGAGACGCTTATTAGTCTATTTTTCTTAAAATTTTTCACCCGAATCAAAGCGCAATTCATTGGCAGCATAGAACAAAGAATCGCAAGCTCACACCTCGCGCCATCGCGCCTTCAATTTTGCAGATACAACACGGCCATCCATCAAGCACGAATAGTTGTATCCCTGCGCCGTTATCAACGCGTGTTCTTTCCCTTGCTCCATCCTCAAATGGTGTAGGTTCCGTTTTCCTTATTTGTACTGGTGCTTTAATGGCTGCGTTAGCAAAGTAGCAGAAGATAGGAGAGATGTAATCAGGCCTTGTTTTTTACCTTCGGTCTTGAATGTAAGCGACGCATCACTGACAGCATAAAGCGGAGCATTTCGAGTTCATGCATCGCGCCTTCAATTTTGCAGATACAACACGGACATCCATCCAGCACGAATAGTTGTATCCCTGCGCCGTCATCAAAGCGAGCACTTTCTTTTTTCTATTTCCATGTTATGTTGGCTTTGTTTGTCTTATTTTAGCGGTGCTTTGAGGGCTACGTGAGCAACACAGCCAATGTTTAACTTGGATTCAATTTGTTGGCCAAACTAGGTATCGGGTAAAAAAAATTAGGTAAAGTGTCTAGCTACCAACTTCTCAGAAAATATTGAACGTAATTCAATCTAAAATGTCTGAAAATTTCAAGGGAGCATTTATACACAACTTTCTTCAAAAATACATTTTTTATCCGGAATATTTGGCAACTCTCGAAGGTTCATACGGCGCTCTGACTTACATGGCAGAATAAACCAAAACGATGCCGAACTTTCACTGATGAAATATGTGCCTTTGAAGAAAGATACGAATATTTTCCTTTGAAAGTTGCAGATACTTCGGATTAAATTTAGAACGTAATCATCTAAAAAATTTGACGAAAATCATTCACACACAAGTTTCCCTAAAATATCGTAATTCATGAAAATTTGGCATCGTCTGATAGCTCATACAACGTTCTTTTTCAGCAAGGCGATAGTGTGCCTGTATAGGAAGAGTTACATATGTTTTAAATTAAAGAAGAATTCAATTCTCAATAGGATCTTTATACTTTTATGTAACAGTTTTGAAAATTGTCTTTTGCCTACATAAGCTGAGAAAACTTTGAGAAAATGCTCCAACTGCAGGGACTTAACGAGAATCGCAACACTGAATAGTGAGACAGCTTGTGCGCCTTCATTTCTTTGCATATGTAATACAGGCTACTGCAATGCACGAAGAGTCGCATCCAATCTTTATTATCCAATTCCCGTCTTGTCATTGACACAACTGTGGGTGTTTGCGAAATTATAACATAGCATCGAGGGAATATTATTCAGTTTTCTTGCAAATTATCAATGAGAAGGCATATTCTATCAAGCAGCTTGGTTGCGATAAATCTTCTAGGTCACCCACTAAATTAACTGAATCAGTGGAACGCCTTTTATCAACCTTTAATGTTATACAACTGTCATATTTTTCCCGATCAAAATCAAACGAGACAATTTATTTTTGTTACAAATACAAGGGACAGCTCTTACTCTAATAAAGGCATGTAATCAATGATAATATGTTCTATGTTCGATCCATTTATAACTTATGATCTTCTCGAAGAAAATAAATCTTGCTACTGAAGGGGCGGTGCATAGAAGCCTACCATTGCAAAACATTCTGAACGTTACACGGTGCAAAATTCTCTGGTTTCCATGTAGCTCACCAAATTTATTCGGAATTAAATCACTTTTATGTGAGGAAGGATGAATCAATCCTCTATAGTTAAATTTCAGGGCATTCTCCTGAGGTATCGTAAAACCAGAGAATCGATTATTTCAATTGAAACTTCATAGATGAACATCCGTCTGGTAGATAAAAAGACGATTAGTTTTCACTTTTCACAATATAATGACCATTGATCACCAAATACTTCCAAGTCAGAAATTTTTTGAAGTTGCAGACTTAAAAATGACTTCAAATTTCACAAAAATGCACAGGTAAATTTTAAGGATCCGGTACTTATTCGCGATCGGTTTTCGTAATCAATCGGCCTAATTGTTGCAGTTAGAAACTACAATTTCAGGCTCACAGGTAAAAAAACATACGCCTTCGGGAAAACTAGAGGTACATGCGTAATTTTAAAACTGAGTCAGAAATTGTAGTTCCTAATTGGCAAAAGAGGCCCAAATGATGGAACCACCGTGTACACTGAAAAAAAAAATATCACAATCTTAACTGGACTTCATTATGTAATTCGGAACTATAATGTCTGTTTAATCCGTAAAAACGCTTATGTGCACAGGGGAACTAATGGTAAATACGTTGTTTTTAAACTGAGCCAGAAATCGTAGTTCCTAATTGGAAAACGCTGTCCAACTATACCTCCAGCTGATTTTGGCGCCAACCATAAGAGTAGTTGCACCAGTAAGAAGTGTAAAGGCACCAGTCAGCGATATAGCACCCAACCTCACTTTTAGCCGACTTAACTATACCTCTGGATTGTGCAACTACCTACTCTTAATATGTTGCGCCAAAATCAGCTAGGGGTATAGTTGGGATTGTGATAATTTTTTTCCGTGTACGTTTGGTGGTTCATAGACGCCAGACCGTTGACAGAAAGATTCGTAGCTTTTCCTCCGCGTCTTCGGGACTAATCTAGGCAACGATTTTACAATTGAATTTCCTTTAATTTCAACAAAAAGAACAACTAAATATTAAGGACCGGTTTCTTTCTCTCTGCCAAGCGCGTCTTAACAACACAACAAAGAAGGAAGCACGCAACGTGACACAGAATCAGGAAGACGACGATTCCGCCCAGCCCAGTCCAGAACCCTTTACTCACACCACCGATACACAGCCGTGTCACTGTTGAGCTTTCGTCGATCCGCAGCTCTCCGTCCTTCAGGGAAAAGTCCTCAGGGAGTTCCGAGCGTGGTCCCTTGCCTAGTCGGAACATCAGGGACTTCTGGGAGGCGTTCGGGAAACTAGAAACAAGGCAATGGTGAGAATTAGAAAACCTATATGGGAAGAGTACGGAGTACGGTCATGTTGGTAATTTGGAGGAGGTTAGGTCATGCCGCAATCACACGCTGAATGTGGGAGCTTAATGTGGATTGAACGTGGAAGTCATCGGCCCGATGCCTGAATTTTGCGCATGACGCGCAAAATTCTGCAACCATCGGACTAATGTTGAATTTGTCTGAACTATTCAAGTATATTTGATACACATCTGGGTGAAAATAACTCGAATTTGCTAAATTTCAGCCGTTGGGCGATGACTGTTGACTTCCACATTCAGCTACTAAATTCAGCGTGTGATTGCGGCATCATGGAGATTTTAGGCCCCAAAAAGACATCCGACCTATGAACTCTATCACGGCCGGATTTAGGGTGTGGCCACATGGACCGCGGCCTATGGCGGCAAATTTAGGGGGCGGGAAATTTTGCAATTTTTTTAAATGTAGGTATAAAAAAATCGGATTCAGAAAAAAAATACAAACGAGAAAAAGCGACTAAATCTCTCATTTCCTGAGGCCTTGTCTCGACGGCGCAACTGTTGAGGGAAGTTGGTGCAACTGTTGAAGGAGGGAAGTGTCTCAAGAATGTTTCACTTTTAAGTGAAACTTTCAAGGTCAGAAGCCTGGAACCTCACAGTTGTTTACCCTCGTGTTTTGAATTGATAAACGCTGGTTAAGCGTGAAGCTGGAGTTTATTACGGGTGTTTTATTTCGGAGCGGTTATTATTTAGAAATATTTGTATACATTTCAGTGTCAATTTTATATTTTCGTTTGTAGCATATCACTACAGCAGGAAAATAAAATTTTATCGAATATATTTTCTTTTTATCCATATCTGTGTTATGTTATTGTTTTTTGTTTTATACCTGGTCGAAATAACGCAAAATATTCACCTCCCGTTCATAATTATCAGCCCAGTCAAACAAGCCAATTGACATCGCCAATCGTTGACATCAGCCAATGACATCAGCCATTGACATCAGCCAATTGACATTGTTTAATCTAGAAAAATTAATGTTGTTCAAATATTCCCGCCTAAAAGTTCCAGGAACACAGGCTTGTGCGTCGAGACAGGGAACTTCGGTTGGTGCAACAAACTCGTAAACAGTTGCACCTGATTCCCTCAACAATTGCGCCGTCGAGACGAGGCCTGAAAGTACATTAATTTCTAATTTTGCCGTCTTTCGGTGATACAAGAGACAGCACCTTTAATTAGTCAAGTTGAGAGAGAAACCCAACGGGCATGGAGCGGCGTGGGGCAGAGAGCAATGTTGACGAGGACTTGAGATGGAAAGAAGAAGCCCTCGGTGTGGCTGTTGGCATGTAACACATATTAGCGCCTACAAGCCTGAATGAATACTTCACGCATTGCGTCAATCACAGTGCGGTCAGCAGCGGTCGGCGTGAACCGCATAGCGCCTACAAGACTGTAGGAATACTTCAAGCATTGCGCCAAACACAGTGCGGTCAGCGCGGCGATGCGGCGGAAGTTAAAATTATTAAACTATATTTATGTTTGTTCTTTCATAATTTTTTCGTTCACTTCTCTTGAATGGAAGGCCTTGTCCACGCAGAGAGAGGTTCACGGAACTTAACTTTCGCGAAAAGTTCCATGAACTTTTGCTGGTAGTGATGACAGGGCTTTCGCAAAAAATGTGTCCGACACGAGTAAATGCGTCTTATGCACCTCTCCCTCTCCGGCACGTTCACTTGATGGTTTTTATTGATGTTTCAAAACGAATGAGAAGGAGGCGGCAAAATACAGGCGGCCCATAGGCGGCAAATAGGTAAATCCGGCCTTGAACTCTATACAATGGACTATTAGACAAGATACAAATTTAAGCATTCTGATACATGTTTCTCAACCAAAATGTTCACGTAAAATACGATTCTTGCGTCCAAAATCACTATGAAATTAGTCCAAAAAATGTAAAATGGCGTTTATGGCGTTTTTTAGTTGCACGGCAGTAATATGGGCATACTCTTATCCTGTGAAAGTGATACACTGGAAAAAAAACACATTGGATCTAGAGTCCAGACTCTTAAAAACATCGACAAGAAAAAGCACTCTTGATTTAATCAGAATCTAGCTTAAATCAAGAACCAAGCCTCTTAATTTAAGCGGATTTCGTTTTGATTCAAGCAAAAATCCGATTGAATCGAGAGTATTTTTTCTTGTCAATGTTTTCAAGAGTCTGGACCCTAGACCCAACGTATTTTTTTTTCCAGTGTAGTGTGACGGAAGATTAAGATGTTCTGGGATCCGTACCTGAAAATCCGGAAGAAGCGAATATGCAGTGCCGGCTCGACATCATCACCGCGTGGAGCCGGAAGATCCTCCATGAAATCCTCAGCGTTAGGCAGATGGAAACCCTCATCGGGGAACATAGAACGCTCATGGCTGTGGCAGCGCTTAACTCTATTAACTGTTCCGTTGACTGACACCCTGATGACCGATGAGTTACCGTTGGCTCCCGTTGAGTTTCCGTTGAGGTCACCGGTGTTGGCGTCGAGGATCTCGCTCATCCCCCGATTGACCGCATCGTCGATGGCCTCGAACATCATGGAACGTGCCAGGAAGTCGTCGATGAGGCTGGGGAACATGCTAAGAGCGGGGGCGTCGTGGCGCCTGGCAAGGACGGGTAGTAACGTGTTCTTATTGGTCGGCTTGCGGGGGAGTTGGTGCTTGGGCTCGTGGAGGGATCGGGGGTAGTCGGGGAGCGAGGGTAGCAGCCCGAGGGTCTTGGTCAGCCCGAAGGGGTCCCGGTCGCTGTTCCGGTCCGCGGGTTTGAGCTCCACCGACTCGGTCCATTCATCTGGGCACAGGAATTTTTGGATTAGGAGATGGGTTATTTATTGAAGGGGGGATGGTGCGTGGCACAGTGCACTGGAAAAAAAGTCGCTTGGATCTAGAGTCCAGACTCTTAATCACACTGACAAGAGAAATTACTCTTGACTCAATCCAATTTTTCCTTGAATCGAAGAGCCGAGCCTCTTGATTTAGGCGGATTTCCTTTTGATTCAAGCAAAAAGTCCGATTAAATCGAGAGTATATTTTCTTGTCGATGTTTTTAAGAGTCTGCACTCCAGATACAAGCAACTTTTTTTTCAGTGTGAGCGAGAACTCTCAGAACAAAAGCAGTATTTACAATAACCCTGTCGCACCGAGGAGGAACGTCTTATGAGCTTTTAGACCTTGCCATATTTCCTTCCATTGAAAACCAATTTACTGGAAAAATTGGTAATATTTTTTTTTCAAATTTTTCTGGCCATTTTGTCAGCAATTTTAAAATATCTGATGATTTCAAGGACAACATGCATGACTTTGCTCAAATATGCATGTTTTATCCGGGGAAATTTGGCAACTATCGAATGTTCTTACGGCGTTCTTCCTTGGCACGGCAGAACTTGGGCATGATGTGGAAATTTTAGAATTTTCTATCTTTGTTAGTACCCAAGTAGCGCAGTGCGGTGAAAATTTTGAAGTAAAATTGCGATTACTCACAATAAAATTTAATTTTTGAGATTGTAACACATTGACAACTTTTGGTCATTAAATGCCGGTTTTTTATAACAAAAATGTGATTCTATGTGTTAGGAAGATTAGCAATGTGCAATGAAATGAAAACTTGCAACTTTTATCAATTTGATTGCAATATATTACAATTATAAGTTTTCCTTCAATTAGTAGATAGGCAACATACACAACACTCCGATGCAATAGCAATAATTTCAACATGTGGTTACAATTTATTGGTATCTATGTTACTTGGGTACAAACGGAACATACGAGTTTCAAAATGGTTCCATTTCTATTCTCGTAGAATTTCCCTAAAGAAGAGTACCTAAGATTTTCAAATGTAACGTCTTGTCAAACGTCAACCAAATACATATTCTGTAGATTGTTGTAATAACCGAAAAAAAAACATAATGTGAAAAGAAAGTTGGTTTCAAACTGCAACTAAAACTAACCTTTTTGAGCGAGGGCATTGGTAGTGGTAGCAGAGATAGTGGATGCGCTAGAGGCAATAGATTTACTAGTGGAACTGGAGGCAACAGATTTACCAGTGGAACTTGAGGCAATAGATTTACCAGTGGAACTGGAGGCAATAGATTTACCAGTGGTACTATAGGCAGTGGATTTACTAGAGGGACTAGAGACAATAGACAAACTAGAAGGGCTGATGGTGTTGGGGGTACCAGAGGTGTAGTTGTGGTGCTTATGTCTCACTGAGTGCGGTGCCACTAAAATTATCGGCAAAAAGAACCATTGAATCAGCATTCTTAAAGAATCACAATTTCAAAGAACAATTTTACCAGTATTTTCACTCGGACTTACTGAATTCTCGGAGCTTCATAAAACTTTTTTAGAAAGAGCGAAATCATATGATCCACCATAGTTGCGAGTTGTCAAAAGAAAATGGAACCATGGAAACAGGTGTACTGTGACTTGGGAATTGGGAAGTTATCATGCACCATTTTGCAATGATTCTTAGCAATGGACGCAAACTCATTGAGGAGCTTGGGCTCAAAACATTATATGCACTAGAGAGGTAGTATTTAAGTTCAAACTTCGTATTCTGCAGACAAGGATCATTACGTTTCCTCTCAAAAATTTAACCTCAATGTTCCGCTCTATGATTTTCATTTATTTCTATAGCGACACTAGCGCACAACGGTAAAGCACATAAAGTGTAAGCACCTTTGCATTTTAAATGTAGTCTATATTTTGGATAGTATTTAGGGGAAAGAATTGACACTTAAAGACCAGACACTTAAAGACTTAAATCGCCAAACACCTTCATCCTTGGCGATTGTTCTCTGGTCTCAAAGGGTCAACTCTTTCCCCTAAGATCAATCCCTCAATCCTTTCTCTTGACCTGGGCAAGTACCGCACAAATCCCCGTTGGTGGAGTGCCTTTTAGTAGATTCCAGATCCCCCCTTGATGAAATGCCCGTCTGCGCTCCCCCCTTCACAAGTAGTTCCCAGCTCCACCAATGTTAGTAGTCCGCTAAATGGACTATATTATATGTATTTGAAATCAGACACCAAATTCTCTGGCTCATCCTTTAGAACACTTATATGCCTAGGGGACCTAAGAGCACATATTTTTTTTCTAAACTAAGCTTGGAATTGTAGTTCCTAATTGCAAGATACGGTCCAAATATAGTCGGAAACGGACCGAAGAGACGTCATTTTTGGTCAGCACTGATCGCGTGAATATGTTTGGTAATTTAGTTATAATGACAAAAATATTGATAACGACGTTCTATCAACTTTCATATTGCATTCATTTCCTACCTCATCATGAAAAACAATTTGATCGGATGTTGAGGGGGGCTTTTCTGTGATGACGTGTCATTCCTCCATTCCGATGTCAGCTTTTAGAGCTTTTTTAGAGCATTTTTAAAGCTTGAAGAATTTAGGCAAAATGACAGGCACCATCGTATTTCTCACAAATACTACTTCGTTGGCATTGTAACGGCTTCCCGGCTTCTTCAGGAACTCCATCACTTATCATTGAAATGCGGCGCCGATGCGCAGCAGGTTGGGTGCGCGAGATGATAACCCCCCACCCCC